AATTAAATTTTTAGTAAAGTCGGGTGAATAATGGTCTTTTGGTTCCATATAAAATCGCACCTCAATACACTCGAAAAAACAAACAATATTGCTACATAAACAAATGTTGTTCAAATTATGCCGTGTTTGGTCTTATTTTGATCAGGAGAATCTCACAATTACATTGGTAAAAGTAATATTTAGCAAAACCAAAAAATAAAAAAATTTTACTGTTGCATTAGTGTTGTCACATCGATACGTCTCTGCCGATTGTTTTCTTTCCTCGGACCTCTCTCTCTTTCAGTCTCTGTCCTTTTCTACGTTCGGCGCTCGGCTCGAGTCAAATGTAAACACAAAATCGACACCTCGACTCTATAACTGCTACGCTTGGGTCCCGATTTTGTTGCAGTTATCCAGTCTTTACTGTAATTGAAACAAGCACATTAGTAAATGGAAGTAGACGATTACATTGGGCGAAATCGGTGGTGTTAATAAACATTGTTACATCACTATATAATTTGACATGGGATTTCCAACGTGTTATTAACTAAAATACACTTTTAAAAAACTAAATTAAATTCTTTTTTAATCGAAGTTCAATATATTTCCATATTTTAGTATAACAAATATATTAAATGAAATAATTTCCTTCTGAACCACGAAATACTTGTACATACAATTTTTCCTATAATATGTATTTTACAAGTTATTCAGAATGTACAGCTAATGTGATCTACTACTTTGTATGTTGATTATTATTAGCATGAACAGTTTCAATCACTGCATTAAGTTAATAATCATATTTTGTTGCTATCTTTTATTATTTTCACAATATAGGTGTTTAATTAAAACATCTGTTTTAGTTTATTCCATAATTTCCATAAATAAATTTTCTCATCATTTTAATATGACAGAAAGGGTATAGCCGGATAAGGTAGTCAAATGTGCCTTTGAGTTGAATTAGAAACCCAATTCGTCAGTCGGTAGCACATCCAAAAAAAACATCTCACACCAAGTTTCAACCCCCTATCTTATCCGTGGGGGTAGTAAAAGAGAAAAAACGAAATTCCAGTTTTTGGTCCTTTTTGCCTATTTAATTTCGTACAAAAATTCTGAAAAAATTCTAAAACATTGAGGTCCAGATGGCGCATATTATAGAATTTTTTCAGATTTTTTGATCGCAAATTGTAATCGTGAAAAATCAAAAACCGAAAAAAAAATCCGAAAAAGTGCGATTTTTTAGTGAAGATGTCGGAGCACTACTTTTATATTAATGTGGTAGTTAGATATTAGTACAACTATTATTCTCTAATTTTTTTAGATTTTTCGGTGAGGTGCGCCGTAGTTAAAAAAATCAAAAACCGATTTTTTCGCGCGAAAAACAAACTTCTGCTTTGAATTTTTATGTCATTTTCCCATAAAAGATGCATTAAGTAATCTTAAGAGGATTCACGTTCACACAATTGATTTATAGATTACAATAATGAAATTACCTTAATTAATTAGTTTTATGGTACGTCCTTTATATACTTGAAGATTTTTAATAAATGTTTGAAGATTTTTCAACGACATCAGTGGCGCAACGATTAAGGCATCTGTTTCGTAAACCGCTGCATACTTTTTTTGGCGCGGGTTCGATCTCACCTGAACTTATATTTTTTTTTCTTTAAATTGTTAATTTTTCTATGTATGCAAGCCTCGAGTTGAAGTTTTCAAATTTGCACGATTTCAGGTTATCATCGAATATGTTAGTGGCCTTTTATTTTACAAGTATTAGTGAATATTTTATAACGAAAAAAAAATATTATCGATTTCTGTTGAATTTCCATATTAAAGTGGCAAAAATAAATTTAATAAGAAGTCGATAACGTTTACTGATGTCGGTAATAAGACATCGATAATTATGTATGTTAGATTATCGATTATTTATATGATGCCGCTCGTTTAAATTTTTGATTCGCAAATGTTAAATAAAATAATTCTGATATTCTCTTTCGTGTTTATTTCT